AGTGATCAGCGGGGCCGTGTTCCTGATCATCCTTTTCTGCTTCATTCCCGTGCCCTTCCTGAGGTGCTTCGTGGAAGAGCAGTGCGCAGCCTTTCCCCACGACGAGGTGAGACGTGCCTGGTGCCGGGAGCGTGGTGGGCACAGGCGGAGAGTGTCCACTGGTAATGCTGGGGTGCTGTTCTCCATCCTGCAGTTCGTGGAGCTCATCGGTTCGCTCCTGGCCATCTGCTGCATGATTTTCCTGGGCTTCGCAGACGACGTTCTGAACCTGCGCTGGCGTCACAAGCTCCTTCTTCCTACCATGGCTTCCCTCCCGCTGCTCATGGTTTACTTCACCAACTTTGGAAACACAACCATTGTGGTGCCCAAACCCTTCCGAGTGCTGCTGGGCATGCACTTGGACCTGGGTAAGTTACGAATCACAGGAAGCCATCATCCAAGTGGCAAGCCATTGGTAGAAGGGGTCACCTGAGGGTGCATAAAGGATTTGCTTAACTAAGCAGTGAGAGGGTGCAACTCCACCCACTAAGTGTAAGACTGGAAAGGACATCCCAAAACCTGGCACGATTGCGGCGATCCAGTTGAGCGCCAGACGTGCACAGGACTCGGCTGCCGACGCCAGAATGGCCGAAAGGCAGAAACAAGGCCCTACGGCCTGCCGCCGCACCACAGTGGTTTACTGCGGTTGCCGTGGCATACACACGTGTACATGCGACGGCCGATTCACGAGAGAGGGAGCGATTTATTAGTGAGCTACCGCTATCAAAACTGACTGAGATCACTACGTAATGGATCGTTGAACAAAGTGGGAAGCGAGACCTTTGGTGCATGGTGCTTCACCCAAGAATTCTAAAGCGCTTGGCTCACTCTGATCTGCAGGTATCTTCTACTACGTGTACATGGGCATGCTAGCGGTGTTCTGCACTAACGCCATCAACATTCTCGCGGGAATCAATGGAATTGAAGCGGGGCAGTCGCTGGTGATAGCCGCTTCCATTATCGTATTCAACATCGTAGAGTTAAATGGTAAGGAAGAGAACGTACATGTTTGCGGGAGCGCAAAACAAGGGGAGGGAGAGTCCTAGATTTCAGTATCTCGTATTATTAAAAATCAACCAGTTGTGTCTTATCACAAACACTTTTTTACTTTTTTATTTTTTTCCATAGGGGATTATCGGGATGATCACATTTTTTCTCTCTACTTCATGATTCCCTTTTTTTTTACCACCCTGGGGCTGTTTTACCACAACTGGTAAGAGGATGGACTTTCAGACTTTCTTTCACTTTACTTTCTGACCTTTCAAAGAAACAAAACCACTTACCTATGTGCAGGTGGGACATCAGAGCGTAGACGGGCTTCTTGCCAGGACAGAGAGCGCGAAGCGTCGATGTGCTGGTAGCTTTACTTCCAATTAGAACGATTCCAGTAATGCTAGCTCACCAAAATGCACAGAATACGCTCCCTCGTTTGTCTCACTAGCCGTCTTTTCACACAGTGTTCTCTACAAGTCAGGCTGTGGGTCCCGGTCCCGCGGTTCTTGGCGTAAATACCCGCAGTTGTTGTTTCTGCCACGTAGATCTGCTTCAGTTCCCTCCCGGCCCCTAATTTGCCCCACGGGAATACAGTTGGTGGTTATCAAGTCATTTTCACAGCAACGGCACTCAGAGCAGACCTTTGTTTTTCTGCCCCATGGACTGCAGGTACCCGTCTCGAGCATTTGTCGGGGACACCTTCTGCTACTTTGCTGGCATGACGTTTGCCGTGGTGGGAATCTTGGGGCACTTCAGCAAAACGATGCTGCTTTTTTTCATCCCGCAAGTGCTCAACTTCCTCTACTCGTTGCCTCAACTCTTCCACGTCATTCCTTGTCCCCGTCACCGGCTGCCAAGGTAACGTACCCGAGTGACCTGTAACAGTACCACAGATGGTGCCTTTTAGCTCCCACACCAGCCGAGAAAGGTGCTGGTAGGTGCTCTTCTTGAAAGCCATCAAAGTAAGCCTTATAGTTAAAAGTTACCTGGCTCGCTCAGCCAGCTCTGGTTGAGTCATACAGGGGAGGTTGCTCAAAGTTAGCTTTTCCGACTGCCTGCACCCCCCCAGATACAGAAGAGTAATTTTTAACAGTGTTAGAATGTGGTTATTCTCAGCTACGAGACTGCGAGAAATTGACACGGGTTGCTTTTAATGCTGTCGCGGTATTATCTGCTGAGATTTCATCGTAGCGAGTGTTCTGTGGCACTGCGCCACATCAGCGACTGTCTCTGCAGATGTTAGATTCTCCTATTTTGTTTTCAAAACTATACAGTTTATGCATATATTGGGGGTGTGATGGAGAGGAATCTCCTCCTGACTTAGCCCGAGCTACAGGACTAGGTAGCGACAGCTGGTGTGAAGCGTATCGGATTATTCCTGCTTCTTCCACTGCTGGATTTCCTTCTCGGCTACTCAGCTAGGGATCTAAGTCTGCTTACGTAGGGATTTCTCTGTCTCCTTGCTCTATCCAGACTACAACTTTAATGTTTCTTTCAGGCTCAATCCTAGTACAGGGAAGTTGGAGATGAGCTACTCCAAATTCAAAACTAAAAGCCTCTCTGTCCTGGGAACAAACATTCTGAAGGTAATACCTGGAAAACATTCAAAAGCCGTACGCATTTTGAGCCGGCGCTCGAACGCGAAAAGAACGGGATGAGAGGGAATGCGGAACTTCTGGGTTCGCCAGTTATTTCCTGGCCCAAATCCAGAAGAAAATGTTCCGCTGAGTCCTTCGCCATCCCTTGCGGTCGCTCGATTGCGTTAATAATCGACCTTTCAGAGTAACCGCGTGTACCAGTGTCCCGTGACCGTCGTGAGCCTGTCCCATCTTTTCAGTAAGAGCACGAGCCAGACAGCAAAAGGGATCCTGAGCAAAACCAGCCAGTGAGCACCAAACAAACCCGGTGAAATAGCATGCAATTTTTCTTTCCCCAGGCCGTGAAGATCTTGCACATAGTAGATGTGAGGAGTGGCACGGATGAAGATGGCGAATACACCGAGTGCAATAATATGACGCTTATTAACTTTGTTATAAAGCTGATTGGACCCACCCATGAGCGAAATCTCACTCTCCTGTTGCTACTCATTCAGGTCAGACAAACAGTTCCTCCGGTAGAAAGATGTACTCTGCAATAGACACAGATCCAAATCGGTCTCAAAAATTTTAAGGGGAAACAGGGAAGTAAAGTGTCACACTCTTTGCACAAGGTGTGGTTGAGCTGTGGAACATGAGGAGAATCAGAGGTTTGCATGGCTCCAGGAGCAAACTGATTCCCACCCACCGCCCCGTTCACTGGGAGCTAATAAATACAAAGTCCCTAGGCTAGAACAAGGCACAAGGTTGGATGTTAGAAAGCATTAGGAAAGCAGAGTGCCTCAATGCTCTAGCCCAGTACAGCCTTTTTCCTTGTTCCCATTTTTCGGTCATACCACGTAACACAGCCCCAGAGTTCTCTCTGGCCAGCAGACTCACGTAAGCACAGCACGCAGCTCAGTACCGTGTGGAATCCGAGTGGGGCGCGGGAGCGTTTTGAGGCGACTTAGGGCACAAGGGTAACGTGCCTCACAGATACTGCCGCTACCTCTATTTGGCACGTGAACTCCGGTGCAAAACGTAGTAGAAACACTAGGGAAAGGCCTGCGTTGCTCAGTCGCCCACAATAAAATTCTGGTTTTATCCTCAGATCAAAGATAAGAGGTTCTTGCTAGGGAAGACAAGACACACTTAGCCAGATTGCCTTTCAGGAGGAAGGGCTTCCGACAAACAAACCTGGAGACCAAATAGGGCTTAGGCAGCCTACACCGGGGATGGGAGAGGACAGGAAGTACCCACCACTTGGTCTTGAGCTCAGTCATGACAGAGAAGTCATGGCAGCACCTTCTCATAAGGAATTGCAGCTTTGACACGAGGTACTGCCCATTGCAAACCATAGGGTTTACGTTATAAGACAGGCTTCTCAAGAAGGAAGGAGTCATTTCCAACCGTTCACCTCGCCCACTTGTTCTCGCAGTGACTGTGCGCAGGCACACGCAGAAATCCCCTGCAGATAGCTATGATTGTCTAAGATGGAACCGAGGACTTAATAAGCTAGACTTCTGCCCTTCATCATTGTAAACCTAAAAAACGTAGCCTAAGTGTTGTTATTTAATGAAACAAGGCATGTCAGAAAGCATCGCAAATCCATCTAAAAAGGAGGAATCTGACAGCTTGTGAACTATTGATCACTATCATGATTCCATTCTCTGTCTGATTTTTCCCTAGGTCCTGGGCAGCACGATTGCATTTTCGATCCGGTACCAACTAGTGCGCTTGTTTTATGATGTCTGACTGGGCTGGCAGGAGCAGAGGAAAGAGTTGCACCTGCCGATCGAATTTCTCCAGCTGCTGACCAGACAATTCGACTGATCTTAATCTGGCCGTCCGAGGACCTCAGGACTCCTGTCAAAATGCAAGCGACTGCTCTGTGCAGGCCAGTCTGGAACAGTAATCACTTTTTTTTTTGTGCACGGAAGGCTTTTGACCAATTCCACTGACAGAAAAGATTCGCCACTGCTTGGACGTCATCGATCTTGGGAATACCTGTCAGAGGGGAAGTGAATTACCCACATACTTTCTCACAGCACTTTGGGAAAGCGGGAAAGATGAAATCTCTATACACCTAACAAGCACGCTACTGTTTCCCAGGAGAGGAAACGGAAGTTCAATGTGTATGAGACTCAACTCAGCAGAACAAGTAAACCAGAATCCTCTCCTGGCTACTCCAATCCTGTGTTATAAATCATACCCAAAAGTCAGAGTGCTCTGAGAATAAAATAACTCAATGGTACCCTTTCCCCTTCAGTGCTTTGCCTTAAGAATACTGACACACAGGAAAACTAGGCTGCACAATAAATCTGCGGCCTTCAACCCTGCTAGAGGGCTGATCATTTCTGCAGTAGACTCCCTCCTCTTTCACAGCTACTGGGAACATTCCTGCCGAAGGGCTTTTATTTCTGAACGTCTTTACCACCTGCCTTCCTTCGTGGAACAAAACACATCTGAAATGGGCTGGCAGAGTAAGGATTGCTGTGTCTTTGTGTAACAGAGGGCATCAGTAAAAGCCTTAGATTAACATGGAACTAAGACCCTGCAGGCTGCAATTACTTTTTCCTCAAATAGAAATCAGTATTTACATAGCAGTATCTGGCACCGTAGTTCACCACAACATTGCTACTTACCTGACACACACACAGGAGCTATCGGAGTACCAGGTTAAACAGTCTGTGCAAGATTAATGGGAGCGAAAAGCAAAATAATGCAACGGCAAGGACAGAGAAGCTGAGATGGGTGACAACAGAAGTTGCCAAGTCCGGTACCTTAATAGATGCAAAGCTGCTGCACGTCCAAGCCCTGCCAGCAGTGAGGCCAGGAACGTATTCCCTGTAGGCAAACGCACACACGTCCGGTGACGCTGATCGGCACAGAAAACACACGGCACTCAAACGTGAATGGTACAAGTGGCCAAATCCTCTTCCCTCTCTCCAGACGATGGATATGGAAGTCTGCTATTGGAGTATATTTCTTTACACAGATGTGCATACACGCATGCAAACATTGTGAATCCCTTCAGTTGCTGGTCTTAAACGCACAGTCTGTGCAGTAACTAGCCGCTGGATTTCCTGGCACACTGGGGCATAGGAACACCCAGGGTGCACAGTACTTCTCCACTTGCTCTTACTCAAATCTTCTCACCTAGAGAGAGAGATAGAGATAGAGAAATTACTCTCTCTGCTACCTGATCCAGACATGCAGCCTTCCGGTAGCTGACTCTCAGATGCCCAATGCATTTCCTCCAGTAAACTGGCTTAAACCTACCTCCAGTAAGAAACCTACTGGCCCCCATCTCTCATGTATCTGGTCCGGGATACCTGATTCCAAAGCCTGTTATCCCACTCGCTCACTAGTCTGGTTCATTCACTGGTGATCGCACGTGCTGGCATTCCACCCTAGACACAGACCCCCCTCTGCACATGCTCATCTTCCCATTTACTGGTACTACATATATTTGGGCCCCTTTAACCTGCAGCGCGATGCCAGTTGCTGACACTTAAGCCTCCAGACATACGTACGCACACAGGGCAGACTCTCCCCTCATCATGGGTGGGGGGGGGGAATACTAGAGAGTTTACTAGGGCAGCAGAAACCGCAGAGATAAAGGCTAGCCATCAGCAACGTGTTCACACACAACCACTTTCTTCACCCTGCTTCTCCTTCCATGTGCCCGAGTTTCTTCCTCCCAGTCCAACTGGACTCCTTCCCCAGCTTCAGAGCTCCCCTTAAACAACCCATAATACATCTCACACATTCACACAATCCCCTAAGAAGGGGGTCACCATAGGTTTTACACATCCCAAAAATGCTCTTCCCCCTTGTGCCACCATAAACCCAACACCCCTACAGGTGGGGATTCTCCTCAGACTGCAGGCATCCCGGGTCACCCTCGCCCGTACTCTGGAGGGGTGCCAGGCCAACACCAGGGCCTGGGCACCGGGGGCTGACCTTACTCCTCAAAAAGCTCTAGACGCAGCCCAGCCGAGGTGGTATCACGCTGCTTTGGTCATGGGAGCACCCCATCTACCGTGGAGTACCGTGACCGGCCCTAACGCAACAGAAGAGGTGGCACAGCCACAGTTCCTTACGCAGAACTGATCCCGGAGCGCCGCAGCCTCCTCTCCGCGGCACCGGCACTCAAGCGGAGGGTGCTTTGGCGGCCCACGGCTGGGCGGGAAGCAGGAGGGGCTCCCTGCGAGACGGGCGGCTCCTCCCTCCCCCCCACCTACCCC